ACGGAGGCGACGAGCCTGGTTCGATGTCGATGCGATGATCGACGGTGCGTTGGGGTGGCAGGCATTGTGGCAACTGGTCGGGGAATACGTCCTTGTACTCGTCGAGCAGCTTGGTCACCACAGGCGGGGGACCGGGACCGGCTTGGTCGGTGTCGTCGACCTCACGCACGACACAGAGGAACGACGTGTCCTTCTTGATCAGCCTCTTGAATTGCATGGCTGAGAGGAGAGGTGGCATGTTGGGTGAGGCCATGCCCTGCAGGACAATGTCAGGGCCAACACGGACAGTGCGGCCTTTCCAGTCGACGACTGGAGTCGGCTCGGCACGAGCAAGCCAGCTCATGCCGAGGATGGCATCGAACTTGGTGTCGATCACTTGGAACAACAGGACAGGATGGTACTTGGGATGGAGGGCCACTCGCAGGACCACTTGGTGTGTGCACTGCTGCACACGATCGTCTGCAAGCGCCACACTCATCGGCGACTTCTTCTTGGTTGCATGTATGTTGAGCTCCTGGAGCAAGCGTCTGCTGACAAAGTTGCAGCTTGCTCCAGAGTCCACCATCATTCGGACGGTGTGACCTTGGACGGTGGCAGGGAGGTACAGCAGGGACTCTTCATGGTCCTCCTGCACAGCCTCCTGCACCATGACTTGACTTGGGGGAACGGGCGACACTTGGTCTTGGTTGGCTTCATCACGGCCACTCGGACATTTTGGATAGGGTTCGGCCATTGCGGGGGCCTGCGGCGTCAGCACGCCATTGCACACGACGTCCACGGCTTGCGGACACATGTCGGAAGCATCCGACACACACGACTTGACAGGGGTGAGGGCACAGGCGGTCCTGTCCCTCAAGGGTTCTTGATTTTCTTTTTTGTTTTGGTTTTCAATTTTGGTTTTCTCTTCACGTTCGTGGAGAGGCAGGCGGCTTGCGCCACCATGCACCTCTCGCACGACGCACAACACTTGGTTTGTTTCTCCTTCGGGGGAGGGGGCGAGGTGAACTTCCTCTGGAGACGCGTGGACTGCATTGAGCAATCCACGGCGTTGGTCTCCTACTAGGGCTCCAGAGCCACCTAGTAGGGTCGGCCGTTTCCCGACTTCATGGGGCACTCCTTGGCCTGGTGTCCCGGTCGGTGACAGAAGAAGCAGGAACCATGGCGGAGGTCCTCCTGCTTCTGTCTGTCCTTGGGGGAGACAGTGGCAGCTTGCTGGAACCGGGAGCGGGGAGGGCCACGAGCCTCCATGGCGTTGACGTCAACGTCCATGGGCTCAGGCATGGGTCTTGCGGGCGGGGCCGGGCGAGGCGGACGGGCTGGGACGTGATGAGACCGATGGCCGCCTGCCAGCTGCGGGTAGAACTGGCGGCCATGGTACTGGACGTTGTCGAGGTTCTCGGCAACGTCCATCATCACGTCCAGGGACTTGCGGGCATCAGGGTTGCTGGCGATGTACTCTCTGATCTTGGGCTTGAGGCCCTTCTGGAAGAGGTACATCGCATCAGCAGAGCCCAGCTCCTCAATCTGGGAGGAGAGGTCTTCAAACTCCTCGATGTAGCGGGTCACAGAACCACGCTGCACGAGAGAGTATAGCTTGTCACGGGCAATGAGTTCAGCATTGGGGCTGCCGAAGCGGCGACGGAGGCGGTCCTTGAAGTCGTCAAACACACCTTCGCTCTGCTCGTCGAACCCTTGGCGGCGGTACCAACGGTACGCCTGGTCCTTTAAGCAGAGCTTGGCGGCGACGATGTGGTGGGTGGGGGCGACTTGGGCAGCATCGAGGTAGTCCTCGAGTTGCTGCAGCCAGTCCTCCACCGAGGAGGAGCGGCTCTTCCCAGTAAACACTGGGGCACGGAAGGTCTTGAGGAAGGCTTCCGGAAGTGGGCGGGGGTTGCTCATGGCAGGGGCAGGCTCCAGGGACAGAGAGGAGAGTCGGTCGGCAAGAGAGGCGGGATCCAGCTTGAGGATCTAGAAAGAGGACAAACAGGACGAAAACAAGACGAGGATTTCCGATGCTACCATGTAACGTCCACTACTGGGACGTTGGGGCAAGACGGGGAGGGAGGGGGTACAAGACAAGACAGGACGGGGCAGAACAGGGCGGTGCTAGGCTACTCTAGCGGACGGGTGAGCTCGGGGAGCACTTACGTTTATTCACGATAAAACCGAACTCCAGACAAACGGGGGGAACGGGGGCAACCCGCAGGTATACCCTGCGGTGGCCTGCCTGCGGTGCGTGAAAACGCAAAGCGCAGCACAGGTCACGACCCACTGCGCCGCGCAGTACGCGCAGTACGCGCAGCACAGCGTCGGAGATACCATCTCCTACAACGGATGTGTGAGTGACGACCTCCCTTCTGTAGAACCTGCGGACGGACGCCCAGTGTTCAGCACTCTGTGTCCACTGGGCGTTAAATAGGAGCCTCCAGAACTTCATTTCCTTTCGATTGCCTCGGTGGTAGAGCCACTTGCGTCGGTAGATCGTAGCGAGAAGGGCGGTGGCAAACGGATACCCGGCGGCACTCGCATTCTCGAGTCTGGGAATCGCCTTCTCCTCGACAACATTGTCCGAGTATATAACCGAGAGGCCGTATCGACTCAGATATCCGATACCCAGCATATACACCGCGACAGTGTCCCCGAGTTTGGCGGCATTTTCGACGGCATCGTAATAAGTCTTCAATTTGTTGCGGGTAATTCGATATTTACCCTCCGATCCAATGCAGCGGTTCATCAAAATGCGGGCAAAGACGGCAGAGGCAGTTGCTCGCTCGGCCTTGGTGTACATCGTGGTGTCCTCGGGTGCGTCCATAATCTTCAAGAGCCAGCGGTCGTCGTAGAAGCTCGGGGACGGGGAAGGGTAGCTCCGGAAGAGGCGCTTGGCGTCTTGGTCCAGAATCGCTTTCTGTACGTCAAACTCACCATATCGATTGGCGAGGTAGTCTCCGTGGCTATGGTAGATATCCATCCCATTCATGTCGAGCCAAAGTCGGAATTGGACCAACTTGGAGCCTCGAATGAATGAGTCGATCGTCTTGCAGGTCTGCTTGAGTCGGAGCAGGGTAGAGACATCCAGACGCCAGAGGAAGGAATCGTTGGACACCACAATGGAGGCTTGGACCAGAGGCGAGACTTGGTGGTCTTGGAGGAGACAGAGACGCTTGCCGGAAATCTCGGGAGGGTCGACCATGGAGGCGAGAGCGGTAGAGGAGAGAGAGCGCTTCATAGTGAATGTAGATTGTAGTGGATGTAGTAAGAGTAGTGTGTAAGTCGTAGGAAACCACTAGATAGAACGAGTGAGGTGAGGTGTGGTTGCGTCGGAGACGGAGGGAACGGATCCCCTTTTATCATCGGGGGGATGCATCCGCTGCCTGCGTGCACATGGGACATGTCGATTGGCTGGGGTTTGTTTCAAAATCGATAGCAAGGCATTCTCCTTGATGGCGTCCCATATAGGATCATATGGTGCGAAAAAAGATAGGCCTTGACATCCTGAATGCCAATCAACTTCATCGGATCCGTTTGGGGGTGGTCAGCTTGATGCATGCGGCTCCTTCGAGTGTCCCGGGCTTGTCGCCTATCGCACCAATCGAGCAGATGCGGCGCAGTATGATTTTCTGCGGATCTTGTTCTCTGGCGACGACAAGCATATCCCATGCCGTTTGGGGCAGCCCGCATGATGCATACGGTTCCTTCGAGTGTCCCGGGCTTGTCGTCCGCCGCACCAATCGAGCAGATGCGGCGCACCATGCATGTCTACAACTCTTGTTCTCTGGAGACGACAAACACATCCCATGTCTTTTGGGGTAGTCCGCATGATGCATGCGGCTCCTTCGAGTGTCCCGGGCTTGTCGTCCAATGCACCACTCGAGAGGGTACTTGCTTTTTTTCCTTGACGTTGGGTTTTTCTCCTTGATGTGATTTGATTTGGGTGGAGACCACATACTCCGAGGCGCATGGGGGTATCTGGCTGGCCGATGATAAATAGCCCATCGTCTCCCGCCTCCAAGTTCTCATCCCCACCAGTCTCTACTCGACTACGACCTACTTCACTACAAGCGACTACTCTCTACGATTTACACCAGGTTCGTGCTCTCCCATGCACACTGCGGGATGCTGACATACTCTCGGTTACTGATACATTCGTTTTCTCTTCAGATACAGACATGTCTACTCATTCCGCCTCTCCCGCTGCCCCTCTGCGCTCCCTCCGTTGCGCTGAAGTTCTCGAGGATGGCACTCGTTGCCCCGGCCGCGCCGTCCAGACCGGGCTCAAATGCAATGTCCACTGCACCAAACCAGGCTACAACCATCGATGCCCCTATGCCACCGGCATGTCGGGTTACACTCTGCAGTGCTCCAAGTCCTGCATGGAGGGCTTTGACGGGTGCTTCCATCACCGCCGCTTCCCCGAAGCGGACTATGTGGGTCGCTGCACCCACATGACCAAGAAGTCCGACTTGAAGATCCGCTGTTCCTGCAAGTCTTTGCATGGCCGCGATGTCTGCGAGTGGCATGATCGCTACCCCACTCGCTCGTACTTGGAGGTCATGCAGGTGGATCGTAAGCCTGCGTATTACGACTCGGACTCGGACAACGAACCCGGACCATCGACTCCTCGTCGCAACCCTATGAAGCGCACTACCCGCACTCCCGAGGCCTTTTGGGATGCCGAGGATCACGACGAACCTGCTTTTGTCTCCCCCGAGCAGAAGGCCGCCGATGCCAAGAAGGCCGAGGAACTCGCCAGGATCGTGAGTGCCCTCATGTCTGTCTCGGACAGAGGCGAGGCCATCGATACGGATGCCGTCAGCAAGGTGAGCCTCGGACCCGCAGCACCCAGTCCTGTCTTTCTCGCTCTCAATCGCGTCAATGTTCTCAACTGGCTTCTCTCCACCCCAAAGATCATCGTTGGCGTCATGGGTGAACGCTCCCCCAGAGAGCGTCACTCCTTCACTCCCGCACCCAAGGCCTCCAAGGGCACCAAGGTCAAGGCTGAGCGTGGTTGAATGGGTGGATGTATTGTTTTGTTTGCACAGTCATGAATACATTTGATTGACTCCAACCACGAGCACCACAGAGATGAAATTCACTGCATACTTCATTCAGAAAATGGGCTCTGGTGTGTGGCCTCGTATACCACCAATTTTTCTGAGTTCAGCCATGGCCTCCGTATCCCCCTGCTTGGCGGCAGCATGAAGCAGTTCATTGGCAGTGCTTCGGTTTCGAGCGACGCCCAGACCTTTGAGGAAGCAGATTCCGAGTTCGTACTGAGCGAGGCTACAATTCTGAGTTGCCGACAGTTGATACCATTCGACAGCCATGTTGATATCCCGGGGTACACCCAACCCACCCTGGTACATGCGACCAAGATGGTACTGAGCACGTCGATTTCCCTGCAGAGCTGATGCAGTGAACCAACCAAAGGCAGCACCACGATCATTCGAAGACTGATATTCACCCAGGAGCAGCTGGGCAAACTGATTTCCTTGGGCTGCAGAGGCTTGCAGATGATGGAGGTGGAGGTTGATGTTTGAGTAGAAACCCTTGGTAGACCAGAACCAGACCTGGCTGTCAGAGTGGCCATCTCGAGCCAGTGTGCCAAAGATGTACCTTGCAGTATTCATCGAGCGTGGAGTCCCAAAAGCTTGATACAGACACACAGCCATGAGGTGTCGACAGAGCCAGTCAGACCTGGATCCGAGTCGACACAATCCAAAGAACCGTACAGAGGCTGCTGTTGCGGATCTATTGGCCTGTCTGGCACATAGGCAAACATCTTCTCCCAGTCGGAAGCGGTTGCGGGTTTCGTTGTCTCGAATAATTTGAATGCCCTTTCGTTGGTCCATTAGGGTGCCCCGGCCGAGGTAATGCATCCACCCGACCATATGGGTGGCGATGGGCTTGATTACTGGGTTGGTGGACTGGGTGCTGACTTCCTGCCAGTGATTGAAGGCGGCTTGGTCGCTCTTCTCGACTCCATGGCCGATGAACGAGAAGCATCCACGGAGGAAGACGATCCGGAGTCGTGCATCTTCACTTCCTTGGCTCCAGGCGGCCGTGTACCATTCGATGGCTGTGCTGAAACTTTGCTTGACGCCTTCACCGTCTTCGTACATTCGACCGAGGGCGAGCTGGGCCTGGACGAGTCCACGGTTCGCAAGGCGGCGATAGAGGCCGAGTGTAACGTCCACTACTGGGACGTTGGGGCAAGACGGGGAGGGAGGGGGTACAAGACAAGACAGGACGGGGCAGAACAGGGCGGTGCTAGGCTACTCTAGCGGACGGGTGAGCTCGGGGAGCACTTACGTTTATTCACGATAAAACCGAACTCCAGACAAACGGGGGGAACGGGGGCAACCCGCAGGTATACCCTGCGGTGGCCTGCCTGCGGTGCGTGAAAACGCAAAGCGCAGCACAGGTCACGACCCACTGCGCCGCGCAGTACGCGCAGTACGCGCAGCACAGCGTCGGAGATACCATCTCCTACACTCCCACACTTAAGAAGGCTTCCTGCGAGGAGCCCTGCGTGTGCTCTTTATTTGGGGCTCCTCGAGGTGTTTACCGTATTTACTCAGCTCCTCGGGTGCATGGGACAAGTCCTCCAGTGTTTGCCATGTGTTGCCCGAGTGTGGGTAACCAACCCACTTGACATAAAACCGAAGTGACCCATCAGCCACTTTCTTGTGCCTCACGATCCTTTCGACTTCATATTCTTGAGTATAGTATTGTCCGAGGTCGTCTTCCAGTGGTGCGTCGTCCGGGACACCTTCGTCGGCGTCGGGGAACTGTGCTGGACTGCGGGTCGTGTGGCGACGCAGCTTGGACACATGGAAGACAGGATGGAGCTTGCTTCCAGGTGGCAAGTCCAACAGGTAGTTGAGGGGACTGGGTCGGGCCGCTATCTTGAACGGTCCTCGGTACTTGGGCAACAACTTCTTTGACTGGGCTTCGGGGACCTTGATGTTGTCGGCGTCCAGGTAGACAAGGTCTCCAACTTCAAAGGAGACATCCTGGTGTCGGCGGTCGTAGTACTTCGCCATCACTTGTTGCGCATCCGTGAGCGCGTCGGCGATCATCTTGTGTCGGACTTGATGATCTTTGACAAAGGCACTTGGTTTGGGAGGCAATCCAGCCGTGGACTCGGTCAGTGTCAAGGAGGTGGGAACATCAGGCTGGAATCCGTAGAGCGCCTCAAAGGGGCTCAAGCCAGTTGTGCTCGACTTGGCGGTGTTGTATGCAAACTCTGCATGACTCAGCTGTATGTCCCAGTCGTCTTGGCTGGTCGAGGCGTATGTCCTCAGGTATTGCTCGAGGGTGCGGATCGTCCGCTCGGACTGTCCATCCGTTTGTTGGTGGTGCGAGGTTGACATGTTCAGCTTGGTGCCGAGATGGTCGAACAGACTTGTCCAAAACAAGGAGGTGAATCGGGGGTCTCGATCACTGACGATGGACTTTGGGAGGCCGTGGTGCTTGAACACATGCTTGAAGAACAGCAGTGCAAGGTCAGGCGCGGAGCATGTCGTCTGGCACGGCACAAAGTGTGCCATCTTGCTGAACCTGTCGACAAAGACAGCGATTGCATCGTGGTCCAACTTGGTCGTCGGTAGATGCGTGATGAGATCCATGGACATGCTGGTCCAGGGGCGGTCGGGAACAGGCAGGGGTTGCAGCAATCCTTGCTCTCGGGTCGTGCGTGACTTGACCATCTTGCAGGTATGGCAGGACTCGATGTACTTCTCGACGGTGCGCTTCATTCCAGGCCAGTATGCGACTTTGGCCAGTCGGTCGTATGTCTTCTCGACTCCAAAGTGTCCAGCGAGGGGCGAGTCGTGGACCTCTTGGAGCAACTTGGTCTTCAACGACGGAATGTCCGGCACACAGACACGGCTGTCCTTCTTCAGGAGGAGCAGGCCATCACGCACTGTGTACTCGGATGATTCGTCGTCCTTGGGGAGCTTAGACACCTTTCGGAACAGTTCTCCGAACTGTTTGTCGTTGGCGATGTTGTCTCGGACAACATCCAGCATCGTGTTGTCGACACTGACAGTCGACTCGTACAGTGACGCCAATTGGTAGTCGGGGCGTCGGGACAGTGCGTCAGGCACCACATTGAGTTTGCCTTTCTGGTATACAACCTCGTAGTTGTACTCGGCGAGGAACTCCATCCATCGCGCTTGGCGTCGGCTCAGGTTCTTCTTGGTGTCGAGGTAACGCAGTGACTGGTGGTCCGTCACAATCTTGAAGGGCTTGGCGGTACCGTGGAGGTACACTCGGAACTTCTGCAGCGCGTAGATGATCGCAAGCTGCTCCTTCTCGTGCACGGGATAGTTGATCTCGTGTTGGGACAGTTTGCGCGACTCGAAGGCAACGGGCCTTCCCTCCTGCATCAAAACAGCTCCCACCGCAAAGTCGGAGGCGTCGGTGTGCACGGAGACATCCGTGTTCGGGTCGAACACAGCGAGGACAGGAGCGTTCGTCAAGGCGTGCTTGAGGGTCTCGAACGCTTGGCGTTGTGGGTGGTCCCACACGAAGGGGCACTCTTTGCGGAGTAGGTCTGTGAGTGGACCGGCAGTGCGCGCCAGATCGGGGATGAATCGGCGGTAGTAGTTGACGAGACCGAGAAACGACTGCACGTCAGAGACGCATGCGAGCGGCGGCCACTCGACCACAGACTTGACCTTGGCGGGGTCGACTTCGATTCCTCTTCCTGAGACAACGTGTCCCAGGAACGGGACTTGATTCTTGAAGAACTCACACTTGGACAGTTTGGCATACAACTTGTGCTCGCGTAGCTTGGCCAGCACGCGGGCGACATGACCTTCATGGGTCGCTTCATCCTTGCTGTACACAAGGATATCATCCAGGTACACGATGACAGAGTTGTCGAGCTCTTGGCGGAACACATCGTTCATCAGCTGCATGAACGTGGCAGGTGCGTTCGTCAATCCGAACGGCAGCACTAGGAACTCGTACAGTCCGTAGCGAGTCCTGAAGGCGGTCTTGTGGACATCATCCTCGTGGATGCGGATCTGATGGTAGCCTGAGCGGAGGTCTATCTTGCTAAAGACCTTTGCTCCACTCAGACGATCCATCAACTCGTCGATCCTGGGCAACGGGTAGGTGTTCTTGATGGTCTGTTTGTTTAGTGCGCGATAGTCGACGCACATCCTGAGATCACCTTCTTTCTTCTTGACAAAGAGCACTGGTGCACCATACGGTGACTGGCTCGGGCGGATGAACCCATGGGCGAGGAGGTCATCCAACTGGCGCTTGAGTTCGTCCATCTCCGTCAGCGACAGTTGGTACGTCGGTCTTGACGGAGGCGACGAGCCTGGTTCGATGTCGATGCGATGATCGACGGTGCGTTGGGGTGGCAGGCATTGTGGCAACTGGTCGGGGAATACGTCCTTGTACTCGTCGAGCAGCTTGGTCACCACAGGCGGGGGACCGGGACCGGCTTGGTCGGTGTCGTCGACCTCACGCACGACACAGAGGAACGACGTGTCCTTCTTGATCAGCCTCTTGAATTGCATGGCTGAGAGGAGAGGTGGCATGTTGGGTGAGGCCATGCCCTGCAGGACAATGTCAGGGCCAACACGGACAGTGCGGCCTTTCCAGTCGACGACTGGAGTCGGCTCGGCACGAGCAAGCCAGCTCATGCCGAGGATGGCATCGAACTTGGTGTCGATCACTTGGAACAACAGGACAGGATGGTACTTGGGATGGAGGGCCACTCGCAGGACCACTTGGTGTGTGCACTGCTGCACACGATCGTCTGCAAGCGCCACACTCATCGGCGACTTCTTCTTGGTTGCATGTATGTTGAGCTCCTGGAGCAAGCGTCTGCTGACAAAGTTGCAGCTTGCTCCAGAGTCCACCATCATTCGGACGGTGTGACCTTGGACGGTGGCAGGGAGGTACAGCAGGGACTCTTCATGGTCCTCCTGCACAGCCTCCTGCACCATGACTTGACTTGGGGGAACGGGCGACACTTGGTCTTGGTTGGCTTCATCACGGCCACTCGGACATTTTGGATAGGGTTCGGCCATTGCGGGGGCCTGCGGCGTCAGCACGCCATTGCACACGACGTCCACGGCTTGCGGACACATGTCGGAAGCATCCGACACACACGACTTGACAGGGGTGAGGGCACAGGCGGTCCTGTCCCTCAAGGGTTCTTGATTTTCTTTTTTGTTTTGGTTTTCAATTTTGGTTTTCTCTTCACGTTCGTGGAGAGGCAGGCGGCTTGCGCCACCATGCACCTCTCGCACGACGCACAACACTTGGTTTGTTTCTCCTTCGGGGGAGGGGGCGAGGTGAACTTCCTCTGGAGACGCGTGGACTGCATTGAGCAATCCACGGCGTTGGTCTCCTACTAGGGCTCCAGAGCCACCTAGTAGGGTCGGCCGTTTCCCGACTTCATGGGGCACTCCTTGGCCTGGTGTCCCGGTCGGTGACAGAAGAAGCAGGAACCATGGCGGAGGTCCTCCTGCTTCTGTCTGTCCTTGGGGGAGACAGTGGCAGCTTGCTGGAACCGGGAGCGGGGAGGGCCACGAGCCTCCATGGCGTTGACGTCAACGTCCATGGGCTCAGGCATGGGTCTTGCGGGCGGGGCCGGGCGAGGCGGACGGGCTGGGACGTGATGAGACCGATGGCCGCCTGCCAGCTGCGGGTAGAACTGGCGGCCATGGTACTGGACGTTGTCGAGGTTCTCGGCAACGTCCATCATCACGTCCAGGGACTTGCGGGCATCAGGGTTGCTGGCGATGTACTCTCTGATCTTGGGCTTGAGGCCCTTCTGGAAGAGGTACATCGCATCAGCAGAGCCCAGCTCCTCAATCTGGGAGGAGAGGTCTTCAAACTCCTCGATGTAGCGGGTCACAGAACCACGCTGCACGAGAGAGTATAGCTTGTCACGGGCAATGAGTTCAGCATTGGGGCTGCCGAAGCGGCGACGGAGGCGGTCCTTGAAGTCGTCAAACACACCTTCGCTCTGCTCGTCGAACCCTTGGCGGCGGTACCAACGGTACGCCTGGTCCTTTAAGCAGAGCTTGGCGGCGACGATGTGGTGGGTGGGGGCGACTTGGGCAGCATCGAGGTAGTCCTCGAGTTGCTGCAGCCAGTCCTCCACCGAGGAGGAGCGGCTCTTCCCAGTAAACACTGGGGCACGGAAGGTCTTGAGGAAGGCTTCCGGAAGTGGGCGGGGGTTGCTCATGGCAGGGGCAGGCTCCAGGGACAGAGAGGAGAGTCGGTCGGCAAGAGAGGCGGGATCCAGCTTGAGGATCTAGAAAGAGGACAAACAGGACGAAAACAAGACGAGGATTTCCGATGCTACCATGTAACGTCCACTACTGGGACGTTGGGGCAAGACGGGGAGGGAGGGGGTACAAGACAAGACAGGACGGGGCAGAACAGGGCGGTGCTAGGCTACTCTAGCGGACGGGTGAGCTCGGGGAGCACTTACGTTTATTCACGATAAAACCGAACTCCAGACAAACGGGGGGAACGGGGGCAACCCGCAGGTATACCCTGCGGTGGCCTGCCTGCGGTGCGTGAAAACGCAAAGCGCAGCACAGGTCACGACCCACTGCGCCGCGCAGTACGCGCAGTACGCGCAGCACAGCGTCGGAGATACCATCTCCTACACCGAGGGCCTTGGTAGCATCGCGATGGACGAGCTTGTGGCCCATGTAGCATCTGGCCAAGTGAAACTGGGCCATCGTATGGTTGTCGAGGGCTGCTTGTTCCAAGAGGGAGAGGACTTCTTCCATCCTGGTGTCTTGAACCTTCCAGGGCAGGTATCCGCTTGCGAGCATGAGTTGCTGCTCCTTGTTCCGAGCAAGGAAATACGCCGCGGCGGCATTTCCAGAGTTGGACTGTGCTTCGAGCCAGGACCAACCGCCACCCAGACGCGGGCAGTAGAAGGACAGAAGATATCTGTCGCTGGGCGTAATCCGGATCTGGAGGGACCCATCGTCGTTCTTCAAGCATCGTCGGGAGCACCACAAATTGAAGCGCCTCTCCTTGGAGTTCAGAAGGTGCCTCGCTCGCTTGCAAACGAGGAGGAGAGTCTTGACATCAGCAAAGGAGAGGGCGAACTGGAAGGATTCGTTGCAGCATATGATGGTGAAGATGGCGGGGTCGTGGTGATAGGGGGCTTCCGTGGGGTCCAAGACGGGCAAGCTTGTGCCCGCTCCGAGGGGCTGGTGCTGGCTGGCGGAACCGGAGGCCATTTTCTTGTAGAGGCGGACGACAAAGGGTCGATTGAGCTGACGGACAGGCAGGCAGGCAGAAGAACAAAGAGCCGAGATTGCGGGTGGAAGGAGGGCGGGCTTGTTGGGCGGGCGGGAGGTGGGCTTGTGACCGGGCGGAGTTGAGCCACCAGCACGGGGCGCGCTGACCATGAGGATGGGGTTGACACGTGCACATCAGGTGTACATTGGCTGCGCATGGACACGCTGTGAGCGGGTCTGGGCGATCTCTGATGCTGGCACAACAAACACATCATCCCAGGACAACAATGGAACACCTGGGCATTGGAGAGCAATTTGATATATTGAATCCATGCAATCGCATCTACACTCGATGATAGATGCTGTCTGGAATATTCGCTCAATTTCCGAGCGACTTGCGGCTCTTGCGTAGATTGGCTTTGAGGGTCTCTTCGTGGATGGTGACCGCAAAGGCCGTTTGAAAGCGCTCGGCATCGAATGGTGCCTTGGTCTTGGCCAATTTCATGCTATCCCTGAAAATAGAGATGAGTTCGTCCATGACCGAATCATCGGCAGCATCGGCATCATCGGCAGCATCGTCATCGAGACTGGTTTCCTCCTTTTTAACATTGCCTTGGGCGGCAATACTGCTGTATGAATTTTGACTTTGGAACCGGTCGGCGCCGTTTCGCTGAGAAGGCGTGTTGTGTGCACTGGTTGACACTCTAGGATAGGTTGAGGGTGTAGGTCTCATCAACGGTCGAGCGGGAGTGATAGGTCCACCGAAGGGGCGAAACTTGTCGGCGGGCTTGCACACAGGACCATCGGGTCCAGGAATCGTAGGGGGTGCATCTGGGTGGAGCTTGTAGCTGAGTGCATCGTGATGACGCTGGCAGAAATAACTGCCTTCGATCCGAGGAATGACTTGACAGCGCTCCTTGTACTGGGTGTTTTTCTTCATGGCCCAGCAGCGTGGATCGCGAGGGTCGAGGGGATAGACTCTGTGGAACACACAGCCATCATATCCAGGAACACAGGGCTTACTGCAGGTCGCAGTTCCTCCGGATTTGGTGGTTGGATAAGGGCAGACGGTGTTTGCCGCTTTGGAATGGACGTTGCAATATTGCGAGTCGACCAGTCGACGACCCGGACAAGTTTGTCCGTTGTCAAGTATATAAATGCATGGAGAGATAGGATTGATTCGTTGGTTCTGGGACATGGCGATTCTAAGGTGGCTAGGGATGCCAATTTGAATCACAAGTTGAGGGAGATAAGTCAAACTGAGTCGATAGGTGTCGCTTCAGAAGCGAAAACCGTCCAAATTTGATCCAAACGAGAAAGCGGCAGAAGCGCTGGCCTCGACCATCGTCCCAGAGCACTCAAAATTAATTAATTCATTACAGTCTATCCAATAAAAAACGGGACACCCCGGGTTTTGACCATTGATCGAATATTTTGTTACCCAATGTTATCGCGCGCTGGCCATGACCATTCACCAGTGTGTCCAAGAGCACCATCCATCGCTGGTACTCCGAGACCAGTGCCCAGGTCGATTGTGGCGACCGGAGAGCGACCGATGATGTTCACTCAGAGGCTGCCAAAGTGATTTGATTTATATTTTATGGCTTTGCTTGACGCAAGCACATCACATACTACATGTTCATGGAAACGGCTGTGGTGTCCCGTTATTTTCTGAATATAGTGTAAACTGCGTGGGCGCATTTTCTTCATTTGGATGGACGCCTGGAAGGGTGAATATTGATACACTGTGTATTTCGTTGAAAATAGCTTCTGAAATGTCGAAGCGCAAAAAATATCAGCGATACACAACAGAAACTAAGTCTAATAATCTCTGTCATCGGAATAAGGGGAAAAGCATTCCCCGAATACCCTTAGCAACTTGACAACGGAGAAAGGATCATCAGGGGGAGGGAAGGTATCGGGTGCCTCGACTACAAAGGTCATGGACTGAGGAGCAGGAGTATATGGCGAGTGTGGAGCGGCGTGATTCATGACAGGGGGCTCGGGGATTTCACGCTCGGACTCGGGCGCGGTCACATCAGGCTCGATGTTGATGTCCGCTGGCTCGGACTCTGGGGCGTCCGATGGAGGAAGTGTCAAGAGTCCATCGTCTTGGTCGGGTTCGGGATTGGCGGGCTCGTGGACCCTGGTTCCGACCTCCTGGTCCTCAGCTTGGCGGCGCGGAGTGGCCGGGGGTGTAGGCGGGGCCTGGGTGGGAGCCTGGGGAACCGGGGCGTTGGAAGGGGTGTCTGGATGTTCGGGGGCTCTGGCGACAGCCTGGTCCTCAGCTTGGCGGCGCGGAGTGGCTGGGGGGGTGAGCAGGACCTGGATGGGAGCCGGGACAGGATCCTCGGTAGCTTCGACACGGGCCTCAGGATCGGGGTTATCCAAGATCAGGACACGATGACGGCGCACGGCGGGGTGGAGAGTAAACTCATCCGGGTGATTGACCCGATATCTGACATGAACCTGACACAAAAGCGGGTTATCATGGCGGTGGTAGTTCGTGCATTTTGTGTCGAACTGAGACTCTTGAGTCATCGCGTAGCAGCGTTCTGGGTCGAGGTCATGAAATTGGAACGAATCCATGGTTATTCTTCCTAAGAAAACGGAAGTCAGGAGCAATGGTATGGAGAGGGGATCGACCTAAGAGGTCCGAAGAGGGAGGTTTGCTTGGCGGCCGAGGGTGAAGAGCAAAAGAGGAGGAAACCCCAGGCGGTCGCCTTTTATCCTGGGGGGAAAGGCGACATCGCCCCCGACTCGGGCTCCGAAACACGTCACCGGTTGCACGAGGTAGTGCGCAGCATTGAGCCACCAGTCGTGGCACGTTCCACATGTTCCATGTTCCAATGGCGTGTCACCAAAGTAAGGATATTTTTCTAGTGTATATTCACAGCACGACGTGGTGTTGCATGCAGCAAGCATGGTCAGACCCAAGTTCACCCCCTCCCCTGCTGCTGCACCCGACCCGAAGCGAGCCCAGAGACGCAAGCGTGCCGTCGCCAAGCGTGGCCGCCCAACACAAATCTCAAACTCATCACCCGATTCTGGTACTGAGGGCTCCCTTCTTGACGATCTGTGGTGCAGCTTGCCTTTGGAGCTGCAGTTCGAAATCGCCAAGCATTGGTGGGGTGATCCTGTTGCCGTCAAGAAGCTCCTTGCCGCCGGCTTCCTGCAACACAAATGCGGCGACATCATCATCAAGGATTTCTTCAACCACGAGTTCGAGCGCCTCTACAAGGGTGTCTACCCTGGCGATTACATCTACAACGACCTCCAAAACCAGATTCCCCATCTCAAGAGCATCTATGGTCTGGAGGGCCAGATCCTGGACCGCTTCGAGAGAGACTACTTCCCGTCATGCACCTACGCTGTGCTCTTGACCGAGAGACGCACACAGGAACTACTCACCCTCTTCAAGAACCGCCCCGCGGCACACCGTCTCATCAAGCTCGCCCGGAATCAAGACTCTGAGGATGATGACTTTTGGGGCGGATATTTGGAGACCTATCCGATCACCATCCCAGAGGACACACCAGGCGGCCATTATTACTTTGTCGGCCGCCGTTACAAGTACGGTGAAGGTGTCCCGCGCGGCATGGACGAAGCCTTGTGTCTCTTTGCCTTCGGTGCGGCCCAGCAGCATCCATTGTGCATGTACGAAATCGCCATCCACAAGTTTGAGCGCGAGCCGGAAGAGTACTACGACGAATTGGTCGAGCTCCTCGATACGATCCCGGATATCATCGAGAGCCAGCAGACCATCGACGACATATCCTTTCGCCAAGAACAGCAGTTCAACGACTGCATCGCACCCGCGCTGATGCTCCGGCTCGCCCAGTACCATCTCAGCCAGCGCAATGACATCAGCGATGTGATCGAGTACGTCGTCCCCCTCGTGTACAACTACCTCTTTCTGCCCGCACCTGACGACGAGCCCGAACACATCACCACCGCCCGAGAGGAAGAAACCGCCGCCTGGTTCGTCTCGATGGGCGAGCTCTATTACTTTTTCCTCGTCCTCTTCCGGATCGTGGAAGACTCGTCCTTCTTCTGGTTCTTCAACACGCACCGCTTCTGCGAGGCATACAAGGACTTTCCCGGCATCTCCACCGAGATGTCCCGGTTCATCGTCAAGGACATGATCACCCAGACCATCGAAGATCGCGACAACCACCTCTTCCACTGCGCCTATCTGGGCAACTGGCGAGACAGCGAGTTCCAGTACTGCCGCCAATACTGGGAAATGTTCCAAGACAACGACGATGTCCTCTGGTTCGGCGGGGAGCTGTTCGTCTTTCAGAATCGCCACGACCCAGCCCTGCAAATCATCGAGCAGGACTACAAATCCAATCCTGCCGGCGGCGGTGCATTCCTCAAGGCCCTGTGCGAGCTGTACAAGGAATACGAATACGTAGATGATACCGACGACGAATACCACCCGTGGTTCTCCTTTGCCCGCCTCGAGAGGGTCTATGAGCTGCTCCACGAGTGCATCGCTCTGAACCCCCAGCGCCCCAGCCTGCTCTCCGAGGGTGCCCTGCTGGTCATGGGGTTGTGCATGGGTCACCAGGACAGGGCCCGCGAGGCGGTCGAGTCCTTCCAGAGCGCCATGCTGGCATCTCCGCACCCCGAGAGGTCCATGGCGTCGATCTGTTTCGCCTTTTGCCTGCTCGGGGGCTTTGGCATCACCAGGGACCCGCCAAGGGCAGCCGCCCTCATTGCTTCGCTCGACAGGGACTTTTTGGCGGCAATGACCAATCTGGACCTCAAGCTGTGGTGTCATTGGCTCGGAAAGGAGGAAGACCCTGACTTTGCTCTGCAGCTCCAATGGCTGAAGGAGCACCGCGATATGCTGGTCGATGTCAACGAGATCCTTGAGGACGATGTCGATTTCGTTGTCGACAATGGCGGAGATAGCGACAGCGTTGGTGGAGATAGCGACTCGACCTTTTCCCTGTCCCTGACCGATCCCTTGCTGCAGTCGGAGGATGACTGGGAGACGGACTCGGATAGCAACCTGTCCGAGTAGGTGCGCTGGCAGCGACCCAATAAATCTCCTATATAAAGACCAGACACCGACCCGGTCCTTCTCGACCATCATCCCCTGCATGCCCAACATGTCTTCCATCCTCGTCACTGCCCCCATCTCCGGCTCCGTCTGGTCTACCTGCTCCGTCCTTCCGGTCTCGTGGATCGCTTTCCCTGGCGTCAATCTCGGTACCGATCAAGCCCCAACCAACCGCCTCTTGCTTGTGTCGTCGCAGGTGACTCCCGTCGTTGCTACCGATGTCCAGTGGTCCTCGGATGGCTGGGACTTTGTCATTCCCTCGGTTCCCGCCGGCCAGTTCAATGTCCAGCTCTGGAACAGCACTGGCTTCATGGCCCAGAGCGACATCTTCAGCATCCAGGCCAATCCCAGCGTCTCTCAGGGTGCTCCCTGCCCCGCTGCAACCCCGACTTTGACCAGCAGCAGCACCAGCTACACCAGCACCAGCGTCGGTACTCCTACCTACACGCCGACCCCCAGCGTCACCAGCAGCTCCATCAGCTCCAGCAGCACCGATTGCGAGTCCGAGGCTACCACGACCACCACGGTGACCTGCACTCCCGAGGGCCGCGGCCGCCATCGCCATCATCGCTGCCCTGCCAGGACCCACACCCACGGACCCTGGTCGGCTTCCGCCACCAGCGATAACCAGGGTGTCACTGCTCCCACGACCAGCGCTGCCACCACCACGAGCAGCAGCACTTCCCCTGTTCCCCCTAAACGTACCAGCGAGATCTGCTTTGTCATCGATTTACACTGAATGGCTTGAATGAATGAAATGTATCGGGTGTGTGGTGTTTTTGTGTCAATAAAAAATGTGTTCGAAAGGCATCTGCTTCGTTCCATTGATCCCAATGCCCGGGTATATAGAGCGTGGGTCATCCCATCGTCCAGATCCAGAGCGTCGCCAGCATCCACAATGGAGAGCATGTCACTCGTACTCGAGATCATCTCCAATGAGAACACATTCATCGCCCACTGCTCGCTCGACACTGTGGCCAAGCTATTGCGACTCTCCAAGCGCACACGAGCCCTTGTGAATCGACGATTCACCAGGTTCAAGTTGTGGTGTGGACATCACAGAATCTCGCTGATCCACTTCTGTGCACGATGTTCTGAACTCATCAACGCAACCAATGCACTCTTCCCATTCTTTCGCGATCAACGACTCGATGATATGAGCTGGGTGATCGATATGGCCAATACCACCAACCACCCCGATGTCCACTACATCCTGGGTCGATACTTTTCAAAGTCATTTGGCGGCCCTGGTGTCGACGACAGGGCTCTCTGCAAACACCACTTCAAGAAGGCTGCTGCCCAGGGACATGCAGAATCGCTCTATGAGCTTGGCCTCATGCAGCAATCCAAGTTCTACGTTCGAGGACAGCAGCAACGACACTGGGTCAAGATGGAACAATACTTTGCTCTGGCCAGTCAACATGGCCATCTCAGAGCAACATACCATTTCGCCAGAAAAGAATGGAAAAGGACAGATGCCACTCCTGAAGAGAAACAGAATGCCATCGAGATCATCAAGGACCTTCGTGACAAGGGTGATGTCATGGCCTGGAAACTACTGGGTGAACTGGGTCTCTGATCCACTCAGATCAGATCTGTCCATGAACCCTGTCCATTCAGCTTGTACCAGAGCTTGTTGGTCGAGCTGCTTGTGACATACACTGCATTACCGCTGTCGTCGCTGTCACACATGATCGCCGTCGTGGCAGTGTTGGTCGCCGTGTCCGCACTCCATGAAACGCTGCTAGTCATGTTGGCACTCGAATAATATATCTTGCCATCTGTACCCACTGCCATCACAGCACCCGCTCCGTACGCACACGCAAACGTCAGTGCTTTGGCATTCCACTGCGTCCAGCTCGTTGTTGAAGTGGATCCGCCATCCCAGGCATATGCTTGCGTCCACAAATACCCACTCGTGTCCAGAGTCGCCCACATTGCCGTGCTGCTGGAATATGTCATCGTGACCTGCGTGGGCGAAAACCCACTGGTCGTTATCTGTGTGGCATTATACGTCGTGGTGATATTGGAGTTTTTCCAGAGCACGTTGCTGCTGTTGACATATCCAAATGCAACGGGTGTGTTTGCAGTGTATCGCATCGCCAGACTCTTACAGTCATTCGATACAGTGATGCGGATCCACGAGCAGGCCGTCGTCACATTGGCGCAATAGTAGACATTGCCACCCGACTCGGTCGCCCATGCACTGTATGGGTATGTGCTCGAGTTCCTCACAAAACCGACCCGGTTGGCATACGGCGCACTCGGGCACGGATTCCATGCCGTCGAGCCACTGCTGGTGCTGCCATACCAGATCTTACCACTCGTATCCACCAAGAGAATCACAGAGCCGCTGATCGCTGCCCACACGGCTCCGGAGACTGTGCCCGTGGCATCGAGCCCACTCACAGTGTTGGTGGGAGCCAGCAGGAGTCGGTCGGTGGTCGAGAGAGCAGTCTTGAAGAACAGCGCATAGCCTATTTCGCCATTGAGTGCCGAGTTTGCCCGCGTGTCATGAACTGAGTTTCCTTGCCTTGTATCTTGCCTAGTTATCTTGCCTTGTCCTTGAAATGACTTTGTATTTTTAGTATCCTAAGCCTTGGATCTAGAATAAAACTTTGGCTTTACACTTGACACTCTGTGTCCCAGTCCAGTCCCCGCTCCTCTCCCTACGTTCGAGTCTTGTATTAGGACTCTTGCGCACTTCCCTGCTTGCCCCGTTGTCCAGTCTTGACACTTGGCAAGACCTTCAACAACCCCCCACTTGCCCTGCCTTTGCCCCCGTTCCCTTCGCTATCTCTTTTACCAATGGCTTCCCCTTCTGGCCTTTCCGAGCCCGAGCTCCAGGCCATCCGTGCGGTCATTATCCAGTCCGCCGAGAACGCCCGTTCTCTCCAGGACTTTTCCAAGTTCCTCCACGATCAGGATGATGCGCTCAACCGCATCACCGATCGTATGGACCAGGTCCTGGCTCGCCGTGAAGAGGATGTCCGCCAAGTTGTCGCCGCCAGTGTCCAGGAGGCCCTCCGCAGCTACCAGGCCCAGCTACCTCCTCCTGCTCCCGCTCCCGCCCCGATCCGTCGCGCAGGTCGCCCCTACTTCGGCGTACCTGACGACGTCGATGATCCTGCCCAAGACCCCGAGGATCACTCTGCTGGTCGCAACTCTGCCACCAGGCAGATAGGTCCTCCCGACCGCTTCTCTGGTAAGGACCCGAGCCGCTGCAATGCCTTCCTCTCGCATTGCAGACTGGCCTTCGTGTCCAACCCTCCCCTCTTCCAGACTGAAAGGGATAAGGTGTTTTACGCCTTATCCTATCTCGATGGTACTGCTGCAGACTACATGCAGCCGTACATCGATCAGTTGGAGAGAGACCCCGAGTGCTCCCCCCCTGCCATCCGTGACTTTGCCGGTTTCTCCGAGTGGCTCCGTGCTGCCTTTGGCCAGGTTCAGCCCACCATCGCCGCTGCTCGCGAGATGGTCAGGCTTTACCAAGTCACCTCCGCCGCCGCCTATGCCGCCGAGTACCGCCGCCAAGCCGTCCACCTCGTCACTTGGTCCCAAGACCCTCTCATGTTCCACTTCGAGAGTGGACTCAAGCCCTCGGTCCAAGACGAACTCTCCCGCCGCTCCTTCGACAACCTCGAAGATCTCATGCAAGCGGCGATCGCCATCGACAACCGCCAGGAGGACCAACGCTCCCGCCGTCCCAACCACCGCTCCGCTCCTGCTCCTGCTCCTGCTCGTCCGGCTCCTCTCCCTTTCCGTCCGGCTCCTCGTCCGTTCGCTCCTGCTCCTCCTCCTCGCCCCGCTCAAGCCTTCAACGTTCCGCAGCCCATGGACCTCAGCCAGGCTTCCGCTCGCAGGCTGACCGCCGAGGACAAGGCCGCCCTCCGTGCTGCCAACCGCTGCTTTTATTGCAAGCAGGAAGGACACATTGCCCTTCGCTGCCCCAATAAGACCTCCTCCCGCTTGGCTGCCATCGATGCTTCTTTGGCTGTCGTTGATGTGAATAAACTTGACGACCAGGAAAACTTCTCTGCCTAGAAAAGGTCGGAGGAGCTTTCCTAGGCGTCAATCATGTCATAAATCTTCCTCCTGTAAATGTCTCCACGGTAAATCACTCTTCTGCCTTTTGCCATCTTGCCCCCGTCACCATTGCCACCGTTTCCACCGCTCTTGCTTCTTCGTCCTCGCCTCCCGAGCCTGACATCCAACGTCAGCCCTCCCTCGCTGTGACTCTGCTGTGCGGTCCAGAGTCCATACGGGCAACCGCCATGATCGATACCGGCGCGGTTACTTCGTTTATGGACACTGGATTCGCCGCAACCCACGCTCTCCCCACCTTTGAAACTTCCTTCGTCATCACTCTTGCCGATGGTTCTTCGATGGAGTCTAGTCTTGGAGTTTGTGTTTCTATGATCACAGGCATCAGCCACTATGAACAAATCTCGTTCGCGCTGATTCCCTTGGCTTCATACCCGATCATCTTGGGTATGGATTGGATCAAGAAACACAAACCCTACTTTGACTGGCACCATGACTCTATTTTCTTGCCTTGCATGTAGGAGATGGTATCTCCGACGCTGTGCTGCGCGTACTGCGCGTACTGCGCGGCGCAGTGGGTCGTGACCTGTGCTGCGCTTTGCGTTTTCACGCACCGCAGGCAGGCCACCGCAGGGTATACCTGCGGGTTGCCCCCGTTCCCCCCGTTTGTCTGGAGTTCGGTTTTATCGTGAATAAACGTAAGTGCTCCCCGAGCTCACCCGTCCGCTAGAGTAGCCTAGCACCGCCCTGTTCTGCCCCGTCCTGTCTTGTCTTGTACCCCCTCCCTCCCCGTCTTGCCCCAACGTCCCAGTAGTGGACGTTACATGGTAGCATCGGAAATCCTCGTCTTGTTTTCGTCCTGTTTGTCCTCTTTCTAGATCCTCAAGCTGGATCCCGCCTCTCTTGCCGACCGACTCTCCTCTCTGTCCCTGGAGCCTGCCCCTGCCATGAGCAACCCCCGCCCACTTCCGGAAGCCTTCCTCAAGACCTTCCGTGCCCCAGTGTTTACTGGGAAGAGCCGCTCCTCCTCGGTGGAGGACTGGCTGCAGCAACTCGAGGACTACCTCGATGCTGCCCAAGTCGCCCCCACCCACCACATCGTCGCCGCCAAGCTCTGCTTAAAGGACCAGGCGTACCGTTGGTACCGCCGCCAAGGGTTCGACGAGCAGAGCGAAGGTGTGTTTGACGACTTCAAGGACCGCCTCCGTCGCCGCTTCGGCAGCCCCAATGCTGAACTCATTGCCCGTGACAAGCTATACTCTCTCGTGCAGCGTGGTTCTGTGACCCGCTACATCGAGGAGTTTGAAGACCTCTCCTCCCAGATTGAGGAGCTGGGCTCTGCTGATGCGATGTACCTCTTCCAGAAGGGCCTCAAGCCCAAGATCAGAGAGTACATCGCCAGCAACCCTGATGCCCGCAAGTCCCTGGACGTGATGATGGACGTTGCCGAGAACCTCGACAACGTCCAGTACCATGGCCGCCAGTTCTACCCGCAGCTGGCAGGCGGCCATCGGTCTCATCACGTCCCAGCCCGTCCGCCTCGCCCGGCCCCGCCCGCAAGACCCATGCCTGAGCCCATGGACGTTGACGTCAACGCCATGGAGGCTCGTGGCCCTCCCCGCTCCCGGTTCCAGCAAGCTGCCACTGTCTCCCCCAAGGACAGACAGAAGCAGGAGGACCTCCGCCATGGTTCCTGCTTCTTCTGTCACCGACCGGGACACCAGGCCAAGGAGTGCCCCATGAAGTCGGGAAACGGCCGACCCTACTAGGTGGCTCTGGAGCCCTAGTAGGAGACCAACGCCGTGGATTGCTCAATGCAGTCCACGCGTCTCCAGAGGAAGTTCACCTCGCCCCCTCCCCCGAAGGAGAAACAAACCAAGTGTTGTGCGTCGTGCGAGAGGTGCATGGTGGCGCAAGCCGCCTGCCTCTCCACGAACGTGAAGAGAAAACCAAAATTGAAAACCAAAACAAAAAAGAAAATCAAGAACCCTTGAGGGACAGGACCGCCTGTGCCCTCACCCCTGTCAAGTCGTGTGTGTCGGATGCTTCCGACATGTGTCCGCAAGCCGTGGACGTCGTGTGCAATGGCGTGCTGACGCCGCAGGCCCCCGCAATGGCCGAACCCTATCCAAAATGTCCGAGTGGCCGTGATGAAGCCAACCAAGACCAAGTGTCGCCCGTTCCCCCAAGTCAAGTCATGGTGCAGGAGGCTGTGCAGGAGGACCATGAAGAGTCCCTGCTGTACCTCCCTGCCACCGTCCAAGGTCACACCGTCCGAATGATGGTGGACTCTGGAGCAAGCTGCAACTTTGTCAGCAGACGCTTGCTCCAGGAGCTCAACATACATGCAACCAAGAAGAAGTCGCCGATGAGTGTGGCGCTTGCAGACGATCGTGTGCAGCAGTGCACACACCAAGTGGTCCTGCGAGTGGCCCTCCATCCCAAGTACCATCCTGTCCTGTTGTTCCAAGTGATCGACACCAAGTTCGATGCCATCCTCGGCATGAGCTGGCTTGCTCGTGCCGAGCCGACTCCAGTCGTCGACTGGAAAGGCCGCACTGTCCGTGTTGGCCCTGACATTGTCCTGCAGGGCATGGCCTCACCCAACATGCCACCTCTCCTCTCAGCCATGCAATTCAAGAGGCTGATCAAGAAGGACACGTCGTTCCTCTGTGTCGTGCGTGAGGTCGACGACACCGACCAAGCCGGTCCCGGTCCCCCGCCTGTGGTGACCAAGCTGCTCG